CCCCCCCCCAATATTTTTTGAAAGGTGCTGGTTTTGTGTAGAATAGGCTTTTAAGTAAATCACCAGAGACCATTAGCTGAGAGGGAAAAAATAAAAGACCTTCATAGCAATACTTGAACTAAAGTGTTTCTCCTGTCTATAGACTGTTCTGTTTAGTTCCTTTGAGACAGGAGCTCATGTCGCCCAGGCTGGCTTCCAGCTTGCTATATGGCCAAGGATGACCTTGAACCTCTGATCCAGCTGCCTCTACCTCCCAAGTGCTGAGATTACAGGTGTGTACCATCATACCCAATTTATGTGGTGTTGGGAATGGAACTTCAGCCGTCTAGAATTTTGGAAAAGCTTATCCTGTGGCTGTGTGGTAGAGTTCCTGAGCTGGGCTGGTGTGTTCAAAAGCAGATGTGTGACCTGGCACCTTGCCTTTCTCCCTCACAGGTGTGGTTTCAGAACTGCAGAGCCCGCCACAAGAAACACGTCAGTCCAAATCATTCCTCTTCAGCCCCGGTCACCGCGGTTCCACCCTCTAGGCTGTCCCCACCCATGCTGGAAGAAATGACTTATTCTGCCTACGTGCCCCAAGATGGGACGATGCTGACCGCACTCCATACTTATATGGATGGTAGGTATCAAAGTTTCCACCAGCTGATAGCTTCTAATGCTAGCTTACTGATGTGATTCACATTTTGAAAGATTACCTCAGTAACAGTTGAAAAACTGTGCCACAGAGAGCAAATCATCCAAACACTGATTTGTCATATTTTGAGGAGCAAGTTTACTGGTCCACTTTACCCCTAAACTACAGATAATGGTAACAATGACTCCTAGTGCTTGATTTTTTTTTTAACTGACAATTTTTTTGTTGCTCTCAGCTAATGTTTACTTATGATCAGAAAGTGTCAACACACTGCTCTCTTGATGAAGTTTTGTTACAGTATTGAAACTAGTCACATGTGTAGAAAAGCAAACATAAGTGCACAGCTTGATGTATCACCACATTGGGCATCTCTCTGTAAATGATACTGGGATGAGGGAGTCGAGCAGCAGTACCCACAGCATCACTTGTCCCTCCCTGTCCGTTATCTGCAGTCCCAAAGTAGCATCCTGACTTCTAAAGTCATGTCTTCGTTTTCTTTCTTAAAAAATCATTTACATTTATTTAATGTGTATGCATGTGTGTACAAATGCCTGTACCCACTGAGCCATCTCACTGCCCATTTTGTCTTTGAGCTTCATGTAATCTAAACCATTTACATTGTTTGAGAGTCCTCTCTATCGCTGAGTGGTGTCCTGGTGATTTATTGTACAGAACGCCACTGTAGGAATCCTGGCACAGTCCATTGAATTTATGGTTGGTAGACTTGTTTCTTTCATTTGGGTATTTTGAGCATGCTGCTGTGGCCTCTTACATATGCCATTTGGTGCCTTTAGTTCACTTCTATTTGATGCATACCTGGGATGGAGCCTAAGGCCGCAGTCTCCGCAGACTCTCAGCTTTACAGTTCTGAGGGATGGCTTCCATGGTGGTTTTGAGAGTATTCACTTTGAGCAGAATCATTGAAGGTTGTCCTCATCCACAATGAGCATCTGCCATATCCATTCTATCCAGCCTGAGGATTGGGGAGCGTGCTGTGTTTACCAGTTGGTTTTTCCCCTGGACATCTCTATCTTCTCTTGTAGAGAGCCTGTGTGTTTGGCTGTGGGTCTATTCGCTTTTTTCAAAACGGATTTTCTTTCTTATCAAAAAGCTTTATATGCCAGAATATCATCTTATGTGTTAAAAATATATTCTACTTGGGGACTTGATTGTGAAGTTTGATGTCTTGCATTATGAGAACTTATGTGTTTTTAAAACTATTTATCCAGGCATGGTAACATATGCCTTTAATCCCAGCACTCAGGATTAACCCCAGCAGAGGCAGGTGGATCTCTGTGAATACAAGGTCAGCACTGTCTACACAGTGAGTTCCAGTTCAGCCGGGCTACATAGTGAGACTGTCTCAAAAATCATTATTTTTGCCCAATGATGAAAATTGTTCACAGTCTAATCCCTTCCAGTCTGTCATCTGCCTCACTAATTCTTGGTACATAAAACTCATTCACCAGCTTAATTTCAGTTGTGATTTCTGGTTTGAGAATGTCCATTTCCACACAGCTGTCATCAACACGGCTCTTTATTTCTTAGTTGTCACAATCTTTCTTCTTCTGAAGCTCATGTTTGAACTCCAGGATCTGGATCTTTTGTGGGTCGGCTGTTTTCCCCCTTTCTAACTTCAGAAGTTAGATATGAGAAAATAGAGGCCCTGGATGTTGTCTTCCATCAGAGATGACTGGTTTTCTGTGGCACAAAGTTGTGCTACAGGAATCGGCTCAGATCCAGGCAACCCCGTGAGGCTGGCCTAATGCTCTTGCTCTTCCCTGACTTTGGGACCCTAAAGGCCTGGGTTTCTTTGGTTTTTGCTTTTCCATCACCCAGCCAAAGTCTCACTCTGAGCACTTTGCTAAACCTGTCAACCTCTTAGACATTCCCCATAGGTTTGATTTGTCAGTATCTTTGCTGGGAAGATGTCTCATTTCCCTCCCTCCCCTCTAGGACGGGACTTCCCAGTTCTCCCTACTCTGGTGTCTCTTGGATGCTTTCCAGCACATGTTACTAGGCAGCCCTCTTCCTTCATTGCTCTTAAGAGTTTTGATTTGAAGCAATACAGCCTTTTCTGAAAGACTTTAAGTTTTGGTTAATTAAAATAATACCTCTTACGGGGCTAGAGAATTGGCTCAGGGGTTAAGAGCATTGATTTTTCTTGCGGAAGACCAGGATGTTTCCCAGAACCCATGTGGTGGCTAACAAGCATCTTAACTCTAGTTTTATGGGATCCAACATCATCTTCTGGCCTCTGCAGGTAATTCATGCACAAATACACTTACCTCCATGCAGGTAAACAATCATACATATTCATGTGAACGAAACTTCCACCACCATGCCCAATTCATTTGCAGCACTGTTAGAACTTGGTATGTTCATGTAAGAGACTTCAGTTCTACGTGAGGCAAACCTGTGTGTACACCAGCTGAGCATGGTACCTTTGTAACCCCAGTCCTCTGGAAGCTGAGGCCCCACACACGAGTTCTGCTTTGCAGAGGTGGCATTTAAGCATTGATAAGGGGACTCTGAGCAGGGTCATCCTATTCCAGCACCTGCAGGTAAAAACGAGCAATAGTCTGCAGATAGAGGGAGCTCATGTACTTTGCTAACAGCAGGGACTAGTTTAGGGATGGAGCACAGCAGTGTGCCAAAACCCTATGGTCCCAAAGAAAGATTGGGTGGTTAAACAATTCCCGATTGTTTAATATAGTCAGTATGTAAAGGACTTAATGATCCTGGCGAGGTGGGTGGTGACCCGGCACCTCACCTGACTTGCCCCTATCTCTTTGTTTTGTAGCTCACCAACAACTCTTGGACTCCAGCCCTTGTTACCCCATACAATGACCCAGCTGCCAATAAGTCATACCTAATTCCTTTTTTCAGGGATAGAAATGATTGAGGATATAAAGTTGTCATTTATTATGTATAAAATACCATTGAAAAGATATTAATGTTAATTTTTTATTTAACACCCAAAGCATCTCCAACATCTTTTTGCTGCCCAGGTATCTATAGTAGACCTGCAAGACACTTTTATTGATTCTTCATTTTTTTGTAAAACTTATGTTTACAAAACGAAAACAAATCAAAGCATTTTTTTTGTATTGTCTGGAAATAGTTCTCTCTAGTGTGTATCTGTTAATTTATTTGCCATCAAAAGAGCACTTTGCCTAAAAGACAGGACTGACAATGTGCAAAATGTTTACAATCTTTTGTGAAATTGTAGTTTATCATTAGTTTGTACCTGTAAGTTATTGTTATAAATATTATCTGTATTTTTTTGTTATATACAACTTTATACCTTGAAGCTTGTATCTGTGAATTTGCAAAATTTATTTTGCCAGTGTTTTCTGAATGAACTGAGGAAGCTTCTGTTGTAGCGTGCTGTGCAGACACATGACAGTGCTTGAGGTTGGAGAACTATGGCTGTAAATAACACTCTAGTTTAATAAGCCCACCATCCTAAGTTTATTAAACATTTTCCATCCTTGTGAAGTTTCAACCAACTTGTCTTCTATGCGTTTTCAGAAGTAAATTGCCTTTAATCTCTTTAAAATCTAGCAACTCTTAATTTGAAAAATCATTTTGAACTGGGTCATATATTTTAATAGGAAACTATAGATGACTGCGTTTAACAAAAGAACAGAGGAAAACATCTCATTTGAGCAATCTTTTTTAAACTGGCTCATCAGACTGATGTGAATTTAAAAAGGCAGAATTTCTTTTTTCCCAAACTGATCTCTGAGGTATCCTGATCTAGAAATGAAATGCAGGCATGGATTGTATTTCTTCAGGGCTTGAAAAAACTAAAACTATTAGGAGTTTAAGTGAAGCTTCTAGAATAGAACTCCTTTTTACCCCAAGTGACTACTCTTGAGGGATTAAGGTCCTTAAGGCTAAATTTCAGACCCCAGGACTGAACCCCAAGTGTAATACATGCTTCTCTCTGGCTTATGAAGGCAAGTCCTGCCACCTCCACTTGCTTCTGAATTCTAAGAAATCAGTTCTCCTTGCCTTTCAGATGTCCTTTAGTGGGGGAAAGGTAATGAGAAAAAATTTGAGACTCTTAAGTCTTTGTTCAGTGGAGCACGTTCATATCTGGTGGGGGACTGAAAGTGAAGTGTCTGGAACTCCGTCCTGGTCATCATAAATGCAGCCAGAATGCACATGCAACTGGACCATCTGCCTCAAGCAAGATGCTACAAACCCACGCTCCACTGGGGAAGGAAGGATGAATAGTTTTTTCTTTTTTGAACTGCTATTCCACTTGGAATCCTTTTGCCCAAAAGCCAAAGAATGCAGCCAAAAGTCTACGTGACCTTAAGAAGCTGATGCTGGCCTCCCTGGGTCTCCGTGCCTGACAGAGGCAGGGAGTGGTGCTCTCCACTTTCCCTTTCCCAGATGTCCACACGGCTCCTGGAGACCAGCCAAGCTCGGCACTGAGTGTTCCCCAACTGGGTGGGATTGGCATCCTTAGCCATCGGCATGGGAGGTGCCCACTGGTGAGTCTTTTCCCCTGCCCTTTCCCTCTGAATCTCTCTGGAGTTTTACATTTTTAGTTCCAAAGAGGAATATAAAAGAACAACACTTCGGCAGAGGTTCAAAGCGAGGAAAACAGGTGAGATTTATATATAATGCACTGAATTTACACATGACAAGAAGTGGATGAAAAAACTCGAGTGCGATGCGATTTTCTATAACTGTTCTCGCTTCTACTGGCGAGTGTAATCTGAAGGCCATCATGAGCCCGTGAGCACAATACTTACTTGGTTGGAATCGGAGGGAATCAAATAGCTTTTGTGAGAATCCGATGAAGGAACTTTTTAGTGCCGGACTAGAAGGATCTGGGAAACAGCTTTCTCATAGCCCTGAAGAGATCAAAGAAAGTTACCATCTTCATTTCATTGGTAGGTGCATAGACAAGGGGTCCAGAAAGACCTCAAGCCCTGCTAGTAGGGATATACAACATGGAGGCAGTTAATCCATTTCCATAGTCTTAAAACTATTCAACAGAGAAAGGATAACTTTTGCAATGTAAAGCAGGATTCCTACTCAAACATTGAAGCCCAAGCCTATGTTCCTTAAGCAATTCTTGTTCGCAGGACAAAAGCACCATTAACAGTAGCAATTTTACATTTTACAAATGCCATTCTTAAAATTCCATATTATTATAAATTATAGGCACACATAGTTGAGTATCCTATAATAAACATCGCAAGATAGAATCATAGTTCCTACTTCAAAAATTATTGTAGACATTTGAAAGCTGATAGGTGCAGCATTTCTTGGCACACGATACATATAATTACTGTGGTAAAATTATGAGATTAGATGGGATCTTGAGATGTTTGTTATAGTATGGAAGGCTTTACCAGTTAGCAGAGAAGTACGTATGTTATAACAAAGGTCTCTTAGATTGCAGTGCACTACTGAAAGTATATTAGCTCAGAAAAAACTCAATGGTCCCCACCACAGGAGGTAAAGGAACTGAAATTAGCACTATTTGATCTTTCGGTGTTTTGAAATACAACTAAGTTTTTAGAGAGAAAAATGGCTATGATTCTAAAAAGTTTAGGTATAGGGATTGGGGATATAGCTCAGCTATAGAGTGTTTTCCCACCATCCCTCAAAGCCCAAGTTCAGTCTCTAGCACTTTAAAAAAAAAACAGATGTGGTGGCACATAACCTGTAACTCAAAAGGTGGAGGTGTGAGGAGCAGAAACTCAAGTTACCCTTGGCTACACAGCAAGTTTGAGGCCAGCCTGGGGTACATGAGATCCTGCCTCATAAACTAAACTTGGGCTGAGGAGATAGTTCAGTGTATAAGGATGTTTGCAATGAAAGCAAGAAGATCTGAAATCGCAGCACCCACATAAAAGCTGGGCATGGCCATACATGCCTGTAACTCCAGCATTGGGAGGAGGGGCACAGATAGTTGGATCCTGGAGCTGGCCCGCCAGCTTAGCCCAAAGAGCAAGGTTCAGGTTCAGTGAGAAACCTTATCTCCTTTTAAAGAAAAAAAAAGTGGAGAGCAATAGAGGGAAATGCCCAGCATCCTGCTCTGACCGCTACATGTATACGCATGCGTACACACATGCACATGCCATACAACAAAATGGTTGGATAACATCCAGTAAATCAATGTTTGCATTCATTCACAGTAAGTCTTTTTTATAGCCTGATTTTCCCTTCTTATATAATGTCTTTAGTAAAATACCTTTTATTCCTTGACAATTTCACACATGTAGACAATGCACCTTGGTCATATCCACCCCCTCCTCCTCCTAGGCAGCTTTCTCCCCCTTATACCTTCTCCCCTCCTTTTTTGGTAACCCCCTGAGTTGAATTAGTGCTGCCCAGTGAACTGTCAGTTGGCCTCGTTGGTGTGGTCTTGGGCAGGTAACTACAGCTTCATTGAATTCATGAATGCAGTGGCCATGTCACGTCCAGAAGACAGAATGTCACAGCTCTCCTCCCCATCCTCCAGCTCTCACATTCTCTCCACCCCCTCTTCTGAGATGTTCCCTGAGCCTTGAAGGAAGGATTGATACAGGTGTTCAATTTAAGGCTGAATACTCAATCCTCAGTAGTCTCTGCACTTTGACCAGTTCTGAGTCTGCATTCACTACTGACCACTGCAAAGAGATGCTTCTCTGGCCAAGGTTGAGAGCAGCACTGATCTAAAGTAATTTCAGTTCAAGCATTCACACTGACCCCTAAATAATACAACTGGATTAATCTCTATCCTAATACACCATTACTATTAGTAACAAGATTGAATACTCACCAATTGTTACTAACTCTATAAGTTACTAATGAAATAACTACATAATGTCTTTAAAGCAAAATATTCTATAATATTTTAGTTGAAATAAGGGGTTATGGTCTGGCTCCCCCTTAAGCTGTTGAAAGCATTTACAGTATGGTGGAATTAAGAGGTGGGACTTTTGGAAGCCCTTGCAAACAAGATGAGCACCCTTTTAAAAGGCCTGAGGGAACTCATCTGCCCCTTCACTCTTCCACTATGTGAGAACAGAGGACGTGCCAGGGGACATTATGAAGAGCATACCCCGAGTAGACCTGGGGTATGCTGGTGTTTTCATCTTGAACTTCCCAGCTTCCAAAACTGTGAACACCACCCTATTGCTTACAAGCTGCCCAGTCTGAGGTATTTCATTACAGCACCCCAGATTGAAAAAGACAGAAACACTGGAAGCTTCTAATTCTTTGTTTTGAATTTAGGCTGCAACTCTGAGCATTTTCAATAGGCCCCAGATGCCGCATATGTATTTTGATAAACATAGCAATCTCAGAGAAGTTTATTATGAGTCTCACACTTACAAGAGTGGAAATTTAAAAGTTCTATGTCCAGTGTCCTAAGGACAGGTAGCCAAGCAGGATATGAATTTAGCAGTTCAGTGACTGTACACATCACCTTGTAATTCTGTGCCTTTACTCTCCATTTCATTTCTATTTTTAATATTTTATATGTATGTATTGCCTGCATGCATGTAAGTGTACCACATGTGTACAATGTCCACGGAGGTCAGAAGAAGGCATTGGATTCCCCCCGGAACTGGTTACAGATGGTTAGCTGCCATGTGGGTGCTGGGAACTAAACCCCCAAGAGCAAGAGCAGCCAGTGCTGTGAAGCACTCAGCCATCTTTCCAGCCCCTCTATGTTATTTTTAATTTTGTTTTGCAGTGGGCCTCATGTATGCTAGGCAAGAGCTCTACTACTAAGTTGTACCAGATCAATTTGTCAATTTGCTATTTTCAATAGGAAATGGGATAAGCATCTTTATACTTACTTTTT